GCCTAAACATAGGAATTTGATGGTAGCCTCTATATGTATCTAAAAAGCTCATCCCTACATGGCCAGATGTGGCATCCACAAGCTGATCAATCTTTGGAAGTGGAAAAGGTCCTTTGGGCAGGCCTTGTTGAGGTCTGTGAAGCCGATGCATACCCAACACTTTTCATTCTTCTTTTTCACCACAACAATGTTTGACAGCCATTCTGGTTATTAGACCTCCCTTATAGCACTGGTCTCCAATAGATTCCCAACCTCTTCATCAACGACTTCCGCATGCTAGAGGGCGGACCTCTTACTCTTCTGAACAACAGGCTTGCGGGCAGGGTCTACATTAAGATGATGGCTAGCTAATGAGGGATCAATACCTAGCATCTCATAAGGTGTCCAAGCAAAAATCTTGATGGTCCTCCTTAGTAGCCCAATAAGAGACTCCTTCTCAGGTGCAGGTAGCTGTGACTCGATCAAGAAATATCTATCCTAATCTGTTTGGTCTACTGGTATGACCTGCAACTCTTCGATTGACTTGTCTTTAGGCTTGGCCCCTGCATTCTCAAGGAGGGGGAACTCTTCATCAGCAATGAGCACCTACTGTGACTTGGCCATCAATTTAGCTACTACAATAAGGCACTGCTTAGAGGTAGCTTAGTCTCCATGAATCTCGGCTATCCCTTCATTGGTAGGGAAGCATAACATTTGATGGTAAGTGGAGGCTACTGCTTACATCTGGTGAAGCCATGGCCTCCCCATTATGGAGTTGTACGGTGATAGAACATCCTCCACTACAAAGTCTACCTCAACCACTTTGCGTACAAGCCTTTACAAGGAGCCACAACCTACCAAGAGGCTAGACTTGCATGCCATTGAAGCCAACGAGTGAGGTCGTCGTTAGGACGAGGTCAACTAGAGCTTTTCCCAACTTCTTGAATAGGTCATGACACATGATCTCCGTTGAACCCCTAGGGTCAATGAGCACACTCCTTACTTCAAAGTAGGGATGACAGTCAGTAGACCGGAGAAAAATGGGTATTTGTCCAAACCTACCCCATTTGGACCGGGGATGGACTATACGTATTGGAAGGTGGACGTATACGGGAATACTCGTATAAACCCGTGCGGGGATGAAAGCGAGGATGGACTTACCTTTATCCCCGCCCCATCCCAGTTACCCGTTAAATATATATATATAAATAAATAAACTCTCAATTAAAACCCTAGGCCCAACTTACTCCTCCTCCTCAATCAACGTCGCCCCCTCTCTCTGTCTCTCTCACACACACAGATGGCAATTATGATTAAGCAATTTCCATGGAATTGTAGAGATAATTATCATGATGAAGCAATTTCCATGGAATTGTAGCTAATTATCTCTTAGAATAATTTCCCTTGTTTCAACATAATTGAGTGCAAAGAAAGAAGGCATATTATCTGATGTTGTGTGTGTTATCATGAATCTGGCATTGCATGCTGAATAAACCGAAGTATATCTTTCTTGTGCTACAATAGACGTGCATTCTCTAAGTCTAATTTTTTCTAGCTTCAATGCATGGTACAAATGTTGCTCCTAATGTGTTTCTTTTGTGCTGTAGGAACATTAGATTTATTAAAACATTAGCATGTTTATTGGATTTAGAGATCTTCAGTTAGAGTTATCATTTGCCACACTTTTTATATTGTTACATCTTCTATTCCGATCATAGCAAAAAAAAAAATTAAACTATTTTTAATTTTATTTCTAATATTTCAATCTGCTATAATGTCATCCATTTAACTGTGCATGACTGTGTTTGATTGGATCTTTGAACTCGATTGGTAAATCTATTTAATTGTGTACTCAACTGAATTGTATTCTTGAGCTGTTTGCTTGCTCGTTTTTGTTTGATTATTTATATTGCTTAGTTGATTAAGTAGGAACAACTAATTATGCTTGGACTTGGGCTTGGGCGGGTAAGGGGGAAGTGGGTACGGGGACGGAGATTATAAATTTACCCACGGATGGGGATGGAGATAAAAATTTTACCCCTTAGCGGGGGTGGACCGGGGATGGACGAATGTTTTTAAGCGGGTACGAGAATGAAGATTATACCTCCCGCCCCTGCTTCGGTCCATTGACATCCCTACTTTAAAGTCATTTCATGTTGAGAGTGAGAACGAGGGGGTCATTATGCGAGTGGACCACTCCTTCCAAGTTTGCATTTGAGAATGTGATAGGAACATTCTGTGATTCTTCCCTTCGGCACTTGAAAGTATGACCATCTTGGTGATCTACTTGCATAACATGCTGAAGATGGCGGGCTTTTTGATACTAGATCCAGGACTGGACCGAGTCAACTTGCATCGGAGGAGTGGTACTGAAGATGACATTTATTACCTTAAGAGGTTGGTCATCCCTTGGCCGAGGCTGATCATCTAGTTGAGTTCTCTGTTTTGCCTGCTCCTTGACAGTCTTCTCCTTGTCTATGTGCTAGGATAGGTGACCTTGCTTGACCAATTCCTCCAAGTGACGAATAAGAGTGCAACAATTCTCTGTTCGGTGGCCCTTATGTTTGTGGTAAAAGCAATGAAAGTTTTGGTCTCTCTTGGAGGGGTCCCTCGTCATCTTTGGTGGCCACATGAAATCATCCTTGTCTTTAATCTGATTTAAAATTCGATAGATTGGCTCTCTGAAGATAGTATCGACTCTTTACGATGAGTCCTTCATCCCCTTTGACGTTGCTCCCCTCTTTAATGGGTTTATGGGGCTACCCTCCTTCCTTTGATTCTTCCTCGGTGGAGATGGTAGCTGATCAATTGACCTTTTTTCATCTTTCACCTTTACATATCTTCTGATGTGCTCTTACAAGTGGGACATACTCTTGGGTGGCCACATAGTGAGATGTTTCTGCAACTCGCTATCCCGTGGGAGGCCCAAGTGAAAAGAGACAGCGGCGGTCTTCTCATCACATTCTTTGATGTCGGCGCAAGTCTCTAGGTATCTCTTGGTGTACACTCGGAGAGTCTCTCCTCGTTTTTGGCATAGTGTCAAGAATGTATCAATCGTCATGGGTTCTTGGCTGTTAGCTATGAATCAAGAGACGAACTCCCCAGCTAGTTGTTCCCAAGAGTAGATTGAGTTCACGGGCATCCCATGAAACCATTTAAGCTTTGAATTTTCCAAACTAAAGGGGAACATCTTGCATATCAATGCCTTATAGCTTATCCAGAGGCCCATCTTGTTAGTCTAAGCTCCTATGTGAAGCACGGGGTCGGACTTGTCATTATATAACCCGAAAGTTAGAGGATTGAACTTCTGTGGGGGTTCAGATTCTCGTATAAACCGAACGAAAGGTGTGGTAGTCATCCTTGCGAGGGTCGGCCTCGCCCTCTCCTTCACTGAATAAACGGAGTCATCATGAGCATAGTCATGTTACGGCCAGGTGGCCACGTCATGAGCTAGCTTAGAGCGCCTTCACTTTTCTCCTCTGTAGTTGTCCCAACAGTCTTCCCTTTGATAGCGAGAAAGACTTTCATTCCATTCTTTTCGTTCCCTAAGATTGTGTTGTCTATGTGTTTTGAGCCCTCCCCCTACGATAAGGGTGATAATGTCTTGGAGAAGGGTCTTTGAGGGTGCGGTTAGTAACGCTTCTCTTGAGTGAGTATATGCTTTGACTCTGATTGTGGGTCGAGTAACTCCTTACTCAAGAATGGCTCCTATGTTGGGAGGAATAAGCTTTCTCAATGTGATCGTTACGACGATCATGGTTACGGGTTGACCATCTGACCTCGCTAGTGAGTTGCTTGCTACTCTGACGTAGGAGGCCTTGTATGAGAGCTTCTGGCTCTTCTGTCTTCTTCCTGATTGCCTCATGATAATCAATCTTAGTGGCTAACCCGCCTTTTGCACCGAGAGCATGTAGGTTATGGTAAGAAGGAGGATTTTTTCTTGAGTAGTCCTACCCAACACGGGGAAGCACTTACGTTGATAACTGGAGGTCATAATTAGAGGGATCCTCACGAATCTGGGGTAATGGAAGTAGTGAACGACTGATTCTGGAATCGAGGGTTCTCTCGCGGGTCATGGTTCAGGACTTCATGGTTAGTAGAAAACTTAATCATTTTTCACAAACGGTGCCAATTGTACGAGAATAAATCCACACAGAGAGTAACCACCTTGTAGACGGAGAAGGTGTCAGAGAAGCCTTGGTAAACTTGCAAGACAAGAGAACCCCTTAGGTGAACTGATAACCAGAGGTAGTCAAAGGGACTCCGATGCTTAAATCAATAAGTTAGTCGAAGAAATAGTGTATGGTGAATAGGGTAGGATTTAATGACATACCTGGTACCTATAACCTTTATTTATAGCGACATAGGAAGTCGTATTCCAAGTAGAATCGAACTCTATGTTGTGATAGGATAGACCTAATTACCAATCTCCTAGATGTTCGAGGTAGAATCATAGGACGTTGAGTCGTGGGTTGTAGGAAGGAATATGCTCGGTTGGAGGCTTTGTTTATCAATATTCACTTGATACTCAAAGTCGAGTTTTACTAGGACTCTAGATCCCGAGCCAAGCTAGACGTTAGGCAGAAGCGACGCCATGACGAGGGGCGTGGTGGCTCTAGGTGCAAGTGAAACCAGAGGCAGGGCAGCTAGCTGGTGATGCCTTGGGCACTACTGGCCATGCCAGGAGGCTGGGCAGGCAATTTGAGCGACGCCAGGAGGCTGTGTAGGCACCTTGGGCAATGTTGGAATGTTGTGGGCGACACCTAAAGACTACTTGGAGGCTGTTGTGGTGGGCGACGCCTTGAGGTACTAGAAGCCTCTTGCTCCTACTATGTGGGCGATGCCGGCCCCACAGTATACATGCATATGTATAGGATACAATGTGAAATCAATAGTTATAATTTGTGATTAAATATGAGAAAATAACAATTGAGGGATAATGTGAAATATAAGGCATAGGTTTAGGGGGGAAGTGTAATTTTCCGTAGCTATAGATATAATAGAATAACAACTGAAAATCCAGTCACTTGGCAGGTCCGGCCTAGTTTCAATCCATAATGGTACTTGTTTTCTTCTTCCCCTTTCAATCCATAGGTTTATCTCTCCTAATTTATCTGGGTTTTTTCTGTGAATTTTCTTGATATTGATCATCTTAATGATCAAGAAACTAACTGTTCTTATCTGTGCGACTGAAAACTAGGCTAGTGGTGGTGGCGTTGAAGAGTCAAAGAAGCCGAAGCTCTATTCATATTGGCGGAGCTCTTGCTCTTGCCGTGTTCGTATTGCTCTCAATTTGAAAGGTGTTGCTAAAATAATAAATCTCTTAACTCTCTGTTTCTCTGAGTGTGTTTAATTGATCTTATGTATTTGATCGTTTACATTTCTTGAAAACCTCAAATCTTGATCAATTGAAAATTGATTTTTTTGTATTTTATTTTGGGTATTTGTATTGAAAACAGGACTTGATTACGAGTATAAAGCTGTTAACTTGGTCAAAGGAGAGCAGTTCAGTCCTGGTTAGATTTCTTTTCACTCCTTTTTCTTTCCATGTTAAATGAATACATAAATAGAGGATGCTGAAATATGAGAGTAATTACGTTTTGCATGCTATCAAAAGAAGGCATGTACCGAGTCCATCCCTACGATAGGGACCCAAATTATGGCGTAGTTGAAAGTTTTTATCCAATTTTTTTGTTATATAGAATCTATGAAAATAACTTTTACATGATAAATTTTAGCATTATTTAATTTTCATAAAATTGAGAAACTTAATTTAAATTTGTTAAATTAATTAGATGAAAGATGATTTTCGGTCAATTCATACGAAATCAACCATTACATAATCACTTGGTAAAACTAAATTTTATTATGCCTATACAAAGGTAAAAATTCGAACAAAATGAGATTGAGAGTGTGTATATCTCTTAAATATATATTTATATGACCTTGGATCCTATATATAAGGTTTGGATAAATTAGACTTTGTCCTCTTAAATTATGACCCTCTTTTGATCTTAGCCCTTCAATTATTAAATCGAACTCGTTGCACCATTAACTATTCAAATTTGTAACGTTTTGCACCAATTATTAAGATTTGTTTTGCTGAAATTGTTAAACTTTGGACAAAAATAGTCCAAAAAAACTATTTGGAAATGTTTAATTGTGCAATTTGTTTGAATCAATAATTGAGGGATATAAAGCAAAATCAAGATCACCATCGAAGGATATAAAACATACTTTTCATAATTTGAGGGGCCATGTAAAGTAAAAAACAAATATACATTTTGGGTTGAAAGATAATTTTGAAATCAAGAGGGCCAATTTTAAAGGTATAAAGTGTAATTCTAGAAACTTGAGGGGGGCCATGGCCATCCCAGGCCAAACCTTAGCTCCTACCGTCAACCTTGGTGAAGGGGTCCAAACTTTATATTTTGATTTTTTTTTAATCTTAATGATAGTGGTGAATGGTGATGGGTTTTTTAAGCTTTATGATGGTAAAACAAACACAAGTATATGGTAGCAAATGCCATATAACTGATAAAATTGGATGCCTTGTTTCTTATTCAAGCTGTAAATGGTTTACATTTCATGGATACATTATCTATAAATACATAATTTTCACTCGTTGAGGTTGTGGGTTCAAACTCGAGGACAATCACCTTGTGCAAATAATGTTAAATTCGTACGATTCAACTGAAAAATGTTAGCTCTTTACTAGGTTTGGCACTAGCGCGACTTGCTTTGCTTTTATTGTGGAGCTCGCTGATTTTTAGGTTTTTAGGAGTAGGTGCTTGCGGCTTTATATTCAAGTAGAGCTTGCTACTTACTCCACGAGTCACCACAGCTTTGCCTACGATACTTGTATATGGGTAACAATAGTACCTTCCAACTTATAGATCTTGGGGCAACAATAGTACCTTCCAATAATAGTACCTTAGCGTAGCTCATTGAACCTTCCAACTTCACTCCGCAGCTTGTACTAAAGAAGCATGTGTTAACTAATTTCTTTGCACCCATTTAACCTATTCTACCTCTCGATATCTCCTCACCTTGCGTCTTTTCTTTCTTTTCATCACCCCATGGTCCCATTCCTATGTCGGAAGTGCAACACTACTCCTTTATTCTTGTATGTAATTAGCTTTGTTCCAATATACCCTTAGCCTCCCATTGATTTGGTGTAAATTGGATGTTAGTTTTTTTGCCTTTTAGTTTTTATGATTAATCCTATGCTGTTATTGTTAAGTGAGTTCGTATAGGATGTTGAATAACTATTACCACCAAGGTTAGTTTATATACTTGAGGGGCCACTCCACCCATTGCCAATTTGTTTTGAGTTGGATGCTCTAACATAGTATCAGAGCTGGGCATTGGGTAGTCAGTAGGTCAGGTCTCTTACCCTTTTGAATCCCGGTATATATGGTTATTTATTTGTTTGTTTGTTGACCCAACTTGAGAGGCTACTCCACCCTTTGCCATTGGATGTTCGATCAATTATTATCTTTATCATTGGTGTTATTGTTATTATTGTTGCTTTTACCATTGTTGATCTTATTGTTATCATTATTCTTGAATTATATAGAGTATTTGAAGCTCAATCCTATTGGTTATGTGCCGGCGCTAGTGGATGGTGATATCGTAGTTGCTGACTCTTTTGCCATCTTACTGGCGAGTATTGCATGTTCTTCCTCTTTAGTCCTCCTTCACATAATAAGCAATTGATTGTACAATCTAGAGCATCTTAAACATAATGAGTATTGGTCATGTGCAGTATCTGGAAGAGAAGTATCCTCAACATCCATTGTTGCCCCAAGATCTTCAGAAAAGAGCAATCAATTACCAGGTACAAGGCATTTTGTTTCTTGCTCTTTTGAAATTTGACTGCTCTATGACAACTATTTATCACCTGCAATTTGTAATTTCTTATGATCGGGTTTATTCTTGAATCAACCCGTAAGACTAGAGTATTTATGTTAGCGTGTTGTAAATCTCTGCTTGTGATGTTGACTGGTTAGGAAGTAGTTACCAATTTGATGAGGTCACAATGTGAACAAAAGGTTCATTGTTGCATTGAAATTATTGTGCAGCAAAACAATTAACCATACGCGATAGTTCTTGCCTACAAATAACATGGAGTGCTGTTGATTGTGAAATGTTTGATATTCAATGAAGCATCTAACAAAAGGGTATATCGCTTTGTGTATTGGTTAGGATCTTGTGTACTGTGTTAAAGTGATACCTATGTAAGAGATAGTATTGGCCCAATAAGTCATCATTCAAGGTCTTCTTTTACATTGGTTTTCCTAGCTTGAATCTGATGCCTTATGTCCTTGATTGACCTGGATTGCTGGGAAAAAAACCTGTTGGTCTAATAAAAGGAATTGATTGTGTTCTTCTATTTGAGCTCATTTCAATTATCATCACGTTAGGAATGAAGGAATGCTGCAACATATGTTCTTTTAGTCAGTTGCCAAGACCCTAAAATCACTTGGTAGTAGAAATCTTTCCCCTGTACCCCCTCTCTCAGACCAACACCGTCAATTTAAATGTGTTCTGGTAAATGTTTCTTTTTTTCTATCGTAAATTGCATTGCCCCCCTAAATATCACCTGTTTTCTTTCAAATCCTAGGGCTAGCGAAACCTACTAAAGTAAGGAATAGTGAAGAACAGTTTAGCTGATCCTGAAAATGTTAACTGCATTGTTCTTTCGATAATAGACTATATGTTTTCAGGACCCTGCTCTTGTTGAAACTTTCTTCTATATTTAAAGAAACTTGAATAATGCAGTGCATCTAGCTTTAGGGACCACTACCTGGTGTAGTGGTAGAAGCTTGGGTTCATAACTGTGAGGTCATAGGTTCAAGTATGAGGGTGCAAGTATGTCAAAGATTAGGTCTTTACCCAGTCCACTCCTAGCTTTATCGATTGATGATGATCAAAATGGGTAACTATGTTCTTGTATGATAAAGCGATTCGCTATTATCAATATCAGGTTCCTATTGTAATCAGGCACAATCTTTGTTTCACTTTTTCATGTTTCCTTTGTTTTCTGCTCTAATTCCTTGCATCCATCTCGCTGTGTGTTTCTTATTTTAACTTGTAGGCTGCAAATATTGTTTCCTCAAGCATACAGCCTCTTCAGAATCTAGCTGTATTGGTGAGTATTCTTTTTCCCTTTCTTTGCTGAATCAGATTATGTCATTGTGACATTGTTCGAGCATGGCATGACTTATAAACTTACCTTCATTATCCATTCGCAGAAGTATATTGGGGAAAAAGTTGGTCCTGATGAGAGGCTTCCTTGGGTTAAATGTTGCATTGGAAATGGCTTTGCAGGTAAGCTTTGATCTAACTGCTCTTCCCTTTCCTGACTCAAAAATACTAAGAGAAAGGCACATCCCTGCTTTATCTTTGACAACTAAAATGCTTCACTATAGTACTCTACAATTTTAACTGAAAAGGTTGCGGTTTATGTAAGTGGACAACTCAATAATGTCTTCCACCTTGAATTCTACCTCCTTATCCGAGTTGTATTCTCTTTCCTTATTCTAAGCATAGTGTAAGTAACTTAAAATCAATCGCAGTAGATTATGATATTGCAATGCACTTGTTTCATTGTCTAGGTAACAATTCAACTGAGAACTGATCAGTTGCCAAATTACACGAAGCAATTGCCAAAACTGTTTTCATGCCAACTGAAACCTTTTCGTCACTCATCGAATAATAATATTTTACCATATTGTAATGTTGCACTGGCATGATTGTTTTTGGTCATTTTGTATGCATCTATGTTTCATTTAGAATTGCTTTTCTGAGCATTCTTCTGCACAGCCGATTTTCATTGTTTCCTTGTGTTTACCATGTACTGAAATAACTGATGTTACTTCCCTCAGCCTCTCAGGAGGTTGCCTCTTCTTAAATTTGGAAACTTTGTAAGTGAACCCTTACATTTCTTCTAGCTGATTTGACTGATAGGTTGGATCAGACAAAAACTTCTGTTCTAGATCACAAACTGTAGTTGGAATGAAAAGTACTGTGGCTTGATCTTGCCACCTCAAATCCATGACTGGTTAGGTCCACCATACCTGTTTTTTAGTCAAGAATTTTGTAGGCGTGACTAATGCTATGTATAGATCTTGGCAATTCATGTGCTGGTATATTAGTGTGGATAACCTAGATCATTGCACTTCCCTGGATAGCTTTAAATTAGCATTTGAAGTATTTGCTGCAACATTTTACCTTACATGACAGGGGTTGGCTTGCTTCAAACCTTAAGTTAACTCTTTCACTGGACTTGTCATAGCTCATCTAGTTTACCTAGTGTATAGATGCTAGATGGTGTAGACTGACAGCTTCATTGCTTCTGCCTGCATCTATAAGGTTTTCTTTCTTATTTTTACAAATTTCAAGGCGATAACAAGGCCAATTGCTAAGTACTGCACCTGGAATGAGACACATATAAAAGCAAGCCACTTTCTGGAAATAATCTACTTGAGAGTTCAAAATATACAGCATTTGTCACAAGTCAATTATCCTATATTTCCTTGCTATTGATTCTACTATCTAATTATTAGTTGAGATACACAGTGCCATCTATTAGATTAAGAAGAATGAGTTGCCATATGGAATCATGGATACAATTTGGATTGAGGTAGGGATTTCTGAATATTTAAATTCTTATCTCTCCTTAAACCCCCATCTTATAAATCATCGTCAAGTTTGTTTTCCTTCCAGTAAATTCGGTTTTCATTGTCTGAACGTGAACTAGCCCCTTCTTCAAGCTGCAAAACTGATTGCTAAGTCAGATATAGGCAGGCTTCCTTTAACTTCCGTGGAGAATCTGTGGAAAACCGCAATACTGTTATAACTATTGGACAAGAGTAGGAAAATTTATGTATTCAGTGGTTTCATGTTTTAGGAGTTGTGGAAGTCTTGGTATATTAAAAGTTCTTGGCTAGACTGTGAGATTAATGTTGTTATATTCGCTGCGCGAATAACCACTTGAAAAAAGCAAGTGCCTGATGGCTTAAGATTCAATTGAATTAAAAAACTATTTCGCGTATCTAAACATTCACTTGTAAATTCATACAAGTTCTGGTCGTGGTTAACCTGAGCGTATCTGTTTGCCTGTTTCATTGTGCATTTGTTGCAGCTCTTGAAAAGCTATTAAAAGGCTATGCTGGAAAATATGCCACTGGAGATGAGGTTTTCCTGGTTTGTTTTTTCCCTCGTACATGTTTTGTTGCCTGTATTGCTTGCAGTATAAACACTTGATTGTGCATAGAGATGTAAATTGCTTGGGTTCGGTGTAAATGTGGGTAGGTACCAATTACCGAATATGGATTCAATTTTAAATGCTACAACCCAGTTCAATTCTAAAACATGACAAGTTCTGGTTGATTGTTTTCGACTTGCAAGTTTGCCTTTAATTATGACTTCAAATATGCGAAGATAATGTGTACTTAGATTTCCTTATCAAAATTACTTGTGCATTATATTATTTGATCACATTATAAAAGAATTCTTTTGAAAAAGAAAAGATCAACAGTGTGATGTGTTCTATTGGATCACATCTTAACTGGATAGGTTCCACCAACTCCCTAGTTTGGTTTGCCTATAATCAATATGATCACTTTCTAATCAACTGCAGAAGAATTTCCTATAATCTGACTTGCTGGCTATCACTTGCAGGCTGATTTGTTTCTGGCACCCCAGATCCATGCAGCAATTAAAAGGTTCAAGCTTGACATGGTAGTGCCCTCCTCTCTCTTGCCCACAGGAAAAAAATAAAAAAGGAAAAAAGTTTGGCATGTTAGTGTGCATTTATTCACAAATTGTTGCATCTGTGGAAATTCCAATTTCTAGTACAAATGAACGCGTCAAATTTACATGTATGACTTCTAGAATTCCAGTATTCTTGAAGGTGAGGGAAGGTATTTGATGTTGTTTCCAATTACATGAAATTTATTTGCTGTCCACTCAATCAAGTTTTATCTAATGTGTTGTTGCTGTTCAGAAACTATGATAGTCCTATGGAATGATGCTTATGGTAAAAATAATATGTCTTCTTGTTCAGGGAAATTGTATTTTGATGTTTACGTCATGTGTATGGTATTTAAGATATATGGTAAACCATAAACACACCATGGACTGAGATTGCATTATCAGCTATCTTTCTGTTCAGAACAATAGTTGGCCTCTCATAATTCCTTTTATCACCGTAAAATTATTATAATAATTATTTTTTGAACGTTGTAAAATTCTTCTTTACAAAGCTCCAATTTATTCCTTTTCCATGTAGTATTCTGCAATAATTATAACTTTGCATCCTTGCCTTTACCAGTTTATTTTGCTTCTGCTGCCGGTTGCCTATTACATCTTATTTGTTCAACAACTGTAATATGCAATATACGAAGTTCTTCCTCAAACTAATGCATGGTTCACTTATTCTCTACTTGGTCATTCCATAACTTTAATCCATTGAATTTCTGCTGCATTGTTATCCGAAAAAGAAGAAGATATTTTAACTTTCTCAATGGTTTTGCAGACAGAGTTCCCTCTTTTATCTAGGTTGAATGAGGCTTATGAAGAGCTACCCGCTTTTCAAGATGCTATGCCAGAAAAGCAGCCCGATACACCAGTCGAGGAAAGGGGTTGAGGTATTGAATAATCTGAAAGACCTAATAGAAGTATACTTTATCGTATTGCTCGTCTTTTTACTCAGTGGTGGAGTGCAGGATTCTGGGTTCCCAGAAACATTGGTGCAATATAGTGGATCTTCCAAGTTGTGATCAGCATTTGATGCATTATAGTGCATCTTCCACTGCATAATAATGAATCTTTCATTAGGCATTTCTGCATTCTCCTGATTCCTTTTTCTTTCTTATTTTGCTTTTCCCAGATCAGTCTTCCCACTCCTTAATTGCAGCATAGACAGCTTCGGGGCGTGCATGCGTTGTGCAAGGACAGCGCCGGGCGTGTTGGATTTTACTATCATGGACCTCTATGGCCAAATAAGAATAATTATGAAATGAAATAAGCTGCGATGGTTGAATATTTGGAACGTCTCTCCATCTTTTTTCTGAATTTCAAGTCGTTTTGTGTCCAGTGAAAGTTGTCTATGTTATTTCTGTTTATAAATTATGCAACAATCAAGATTTCATGGTGCTGGTCTTTAAATGTCGTATCAGTTGGTCATTCTCTTAGTTTGGTCCTCTCTAATTAAGAGAATGGTCGGAGGAATGAACTATGAGTAAATTATACATATGATTTTCAAATTATGATCTTTGTGTCAGTCAAGTTGAACTCTTTTTATGTCAATTAAGTTCTTGAATTGTCTAATTGACATAATTAGATAATTTAAGAGTTCAATTGACACAAAAAAAAAAAAAAATTCATGTCTTAATTGATACAAAGGTTATAGTTTGATGGCTATAATTGTATTCATGTGTATCCCGAGTGATACAGTTTGTCACTTTTAGTTAAAAAATTTAATAGAGGCTGAAAAAAAAACCCAATTAGTACAATTAGAAAGTTCAAATATTCAATTAACACAAGAATTATAATTGTAAAATATAAATTATAACTCAAAAAGATTCAATAGATGTCAGTGTGTTAAAATCGCAAGTACAATCTCTCTGCAAGTGAAGTAAAACTACTTCAATCTAACTTTCTCAAGATCCCACAAGAACAAACCAGTGCAATTAGTACCATTTTCTCACTACCACACAACCAAAGGGCAGCTTCATTATCATCTGCTAGTTGTTTTAGAAAACTCTCTGGTGGTCCAAGGCATTGCATGAACCAAACTGAATTACAATTTATAAGCCTAATGGTGAAAATATTCCGTTGTTACTGAGCTTCTAACATGTATCAGTGCTAGATAGTCACCAAGCAAATGATTCTCAAAACCAACCAGTGGTTGATCCCAGGAGACAAGGCAATTTCTAAACAATGGAGCTATAGTTTTCAACTTAGATAGTTCTATGTCACTTTCCGCTTTTTAGAAAGTTCTACAGTCACGAGAGCTTGCTAGTCTTTAAGTGCCGCATGGGAGACCATCCTATCCTGATCTTCGACCGAAACAAAGAGTTGTCTCCTAAACTGCATCTTCAAAAGTCCAAAGCATTGGAATGTAAACATGAAGAACATATAATATATTAAATTAGTTTGGAATCCCATACAAAGAGCCATATACTCTTAGAAACGATGAAGAAGTTGTGCCACAGAAATTAGCATGCTGGCAAAACACAAGTAATCTCACTTGTATCTTTCTAGTTATTCAAGCTGCTGCTCTGTCAGGATATCGTTATCCGCTTTTTTTGGGTCTCATATTTGCGGCAGTTATAAGTTTATAATCGCAGTGAAGCATTTCACTCAGCTTGCCAAACCTTTCCTCATAAAAGAGCCACACCTCAGACCTGAGCAAAGAGAATATCCAAAAAAGAAAACTTAATATGCTAAAGAAACTTACAAAATACAATGATTAAATGGAAGAACATCAGGTTGAAGACCATACCAATACGCCAAGAACTGAAATGGTGCATACTTTCTGTAGATCACTTCAACATCTCCTTGAACTGTTTTAATGGTAGATGGTCTGGCATGAACCTGGAGTAACATGTGGCACGCCTTTAAACTCTCAAGCTAAGGATACAAACTCACAAAGCATATATTTCACAGGCACTATGAACAAGTCTGGAGAATTTACCAGAGAAAAAAGAGAGCCCAACCTGTTTTAAATGCCTAACAGTTTCAGAATCTGTTGGAATCACATGGTAAAATCCCATGCACATGAGCACATTTGCACATGTAAAAGGACCAAAGCCATAAATTCCTTTTAGCTGCTCAAACAACTTATTATAGTTGGATAAGGTTGGTGTGCTGCAGGCTTCTTCAAGTTGTCTCAGTTGAATCCTGCCTTCAACAACGCTCTGAGCAAGCTCCAATATGCGACTTGCTCGGTACCCAATTTTGCAGCGCTTTGCCAGAAAATTTTCATCCAGGCTGGCTAATTCTCTAGGGCTAGGAAAATTTCCAATCTTATTGTATGTGTAAAGTTCTGTCCCTACAGAGGACCGACGATCAAAAACAGGGGACGAATCAACTTGATATATTTCACTTGAAGTCTGATGAGAGTCACATTGCTCGTGGAAGTTCTCTTTATACGATGAAAGGAAGCTCGGACTTAGTTTCTCTTTTTTCTGCAGGCAGTCTGTCATTTCAACACAATCTATACTAGACTCAGCATCTCCTTCGGTCTCTACTTTAACATCTGCTAATTTTTTTGCTGACTTTGTGGAACCTTTGTGCACTCCAAGCTTTCTCTTTAATTCTTTTATTGCAGGTGTCTTTGGAATAAAATGATCAGTCTTAGCAGTGTGACTTCTTGAATTAGGACCATTATCAGCTTTGGCAACTGATATACTGGAGAAGGGGCACTGCAGTTCCAACTGAAGCTCGCAGAGTGCTGCAGCCATGCTCAAAGTCCTTGGCCAACTACAACGAAGAAGAAGGTTAATCCTCCGCCACACGATAACCCTTAATATTTGTCAGCTTTTTCAGGTTTCAGCTAATAATTTAACCACATAGAGCTTAACTTTGACATGTTGTATCAATGAGAAACCTCAATCTTTGTCGATCATAAGAATCCCCAGATCAGATCTCATTCTATTGCCTTCTTAAGCATCATGCTAAAACCCTCCTCAAACAGATGAAGCAGAAGAGGGAGAGGAGAAACCCCCTGTCTATGATTCCGGAAGTAATCTAAAGTAACTCACCCCTTTGTTGGCCCACCAGGAAAGATCTGAAAGTTCCTTAGGGACAAAGATGATTGCAGCTCTCCCCTCCACCTTACTTAGTAGCCCATCCTCTCCTACATACTCGATAGAGACCACAATGAACATATCCATACACCTCAAACATCGAGTTTGCAAAAATGCATGCTCCCTAGCTCTACGTTGTAGAGACCCTATAGTCACTATCACGGGCGGACGGAGGGTGGAGGCAATGGGAGCAGTTGCCCCCACTGTATTTCAAAAAAGTTTTAGAGTCCATTTAAAATTTTAAAAAATCTATATGTTCTCTATAAATTTGCCCCCACCGAAATATTGGTAAAATAAAAAATTAGAGTTAGTTTCAATGGATAAAATTATGATATGAATATAGTTAATGAGAACAAAATAATATTTTTGACCAATTATCTACGCTTTAATTGGTCACGATTTTCGCGAATTTAAATTTGGATATACCAAAATGCGATCTATGATTGAGTACGATTGATATATACGTGTATATGATGAGATTCAGTGTTATTTGGTGAAAGTGAAACTGAATTAAAATTGAGATATAATTTATTAAAATTCAATTTTCGCATGCTTATAGAGTCAGTTGGATTTTTAATATTTAACTTATTCGGATATGCAGTTTAAAAATAAAATTCATTAATCAAATTGAATTCAAAAATGAGTTTTTAAATCCATTATGGATTTGGGGTTTTCGGATTAAATTTGAATCACACAATATTTGACCCAAATCTGATCATTGAAGGCCTACTTGCTATTCATTTTGTTCACAAAACGCAATGAGTTCTGATGATTTTTGTTTGATTCGTCTCTTCAATCCAATGGTTTCCCTGATAGGGACAAAATATGGTTCCACCCCTAGTCATTATAACACATTCTAAACTACTTGCCAACTGCGTCCTCTGTGTTTCATGTTTTACACAATTAAGTTGATAGTTCTACCTCTTGGCCAAAATCCTGTACTTATCATTTGGCAATTATTATTATTATTATTTTTTAAAAATTTTACAGGGGAGGGAGTGGTGAGGATCGAACTCGCGACCTAACAGTCCAACGGCGGATTGCGGTTGACTTAATGGCCATCGCTGATCTTCAATCATTTGGCAGTTATTCAATTTCACACAAATTACTTCAAAGAAATATATCATAAAGCTTAATTTTCCTCTTCTCATTTCACAAAATGACGAGATTGTTAAGAAACTCACAAACCAAAACAATCCAATAATAAGATTTGATGCACATGGCAGATAAATATAAGGGCAAGATGAATGAAAGACTATGAGAGTGGGAGACAGAGAGACAAAGTAGACTCACTGGCAATTGCAGAGAAGAATACACTTGACCATGTCCTCGAACAACGTCGGTGATCTAAAGACTCTCCCAAAACCCCTCGCCTTTGATTCCTCATGAACCTCCCAAAAGTCCCTCAAATTCATCTCTTCCGCTTTCGACAATCGCAGCATTCTCCTCACTTGACCCTACAATGAACTCAAATCAATCAACCATTCACAACCAAAAACCGATTTCTGTAGAAAGAAAGAAAAAAAGTTCGAGACAGTACCAGCAATTCTTGTTTTTGCCGAGGAGAGAGAAAATCAGTGCCGAATACACGGAGACGGAGTGAGTGAGGAAAGTCAGAGGGGTGAGAAATTTGGACAAGGAATGAAGAAGAAACAGAGACATCGTGATCGTCATCGGGATCGAGGCGTAAAGGGCGTCGAAGGGTTTTGGTGAGAGGGTCCCAGTGATTTGGGGCTATCATGAACAATCCGTGACTGCAGACGACCTTTTCGAGGTTAAATGTGGCCGCGGAGTCACCGAGCGGTAGCTCGACCACCACGCTACGGTGGTCTCCGGCTTCGCCAACGTCTATGGCGGCGGCCGTTGTGTTTAGCTCCGTGTCTTTCGCGGGTTCCATGGTATCAGTGTACGGGTTGTGGGAGTGTGAATTCGTTGGGGCGACTACCCGTTATTCAAGTCTCGAGCATAGACTCAAAAATAATTGAGCGAATTGCAATTTTGTACTTAAAGGGTTTTAAAATTTTATTTTTTACATTATAATACTTTTGAAATACTGGAGGTGTAAATGAGAAATTTAATTTTAAAAGAATAAAGAAAAATTTTTGAAATATTTTAGAGAACAAAGTATAAAAAGCCCAAAATAATTTATATATAATTTATTGATTTAATTTGTCGATATAATTTTTTATTATCACTTGATTCACAATATATTTTAGTATTTGTTGGAGCTCGAAATCAATCAAATGATTGGGATTAATTATTTTAACAAATTAATTCCAAACGGTATTTTCTCAAAAATAATAAGAGGAGGGTAGAAGAAGAAAATAACATGAAGTTAACAAAAAAATTCAAATTTTCAATCTTTATTTTTCTTCTAGAAAATAACATAAAGTTAACAAGAAAATTCAAATTTTCAATCTTTTCTTATTTTGTTTTCTACTTTTTGCTAGGGGGTGTCTTACGAAAACAGACTGGTCTAACATTAATCCGTTTAATTTAAATTTTTATCAATAATTTTATTTTTGAATTTGTATTTTGTGAGGTTCATGTTAATATGTAAAGAATATGAGTACTTACTTTCAGTTAATTTAAGTAGTTAAGATTCGTGAATCTCTTGCTAGAAACTAGAGCATTTCCAAAGGTAAGACTTCCAAACTTTATTGAAGCAATAAAAATTCTGTTTTTTCCCCCTAAAAATGCAATTGTTAATTATGTTTGTCATGCACTCTGTTTCCTTTATATATTGGTGGGAGAATCACTTATATACAGCGAATCTAATTTTAACACGTACCGAGTGATTTTATACTAATGCTCCAGAATGATGGAAAGTAGAAAGGATAAAAAATAAAAAAAATATATTTTTTATCATTCAAGGAAGGAAAGTATGAATGATACATTTTCTTTCTTTTGTGTTTAGTTGGATAGATGAAAAATAAAATTACTATTTTTTTTTTACTGGCTAAAATTACGAGTGACAATCGAGTCGTGTCGTGTTGTGTCATATTCATGTTAATTCATTACGAATTTCTGTCAAACATTAGTCAAACCTAACTCAATTCATTTAACTAATTGTGTCATGTCGAATTGCGAATTGACCTGTTTATTTTCGTTTCGTGTCATGTTTGTATTCGTGTTGATCCACATAAACTTTGAATAAAAAATTTAACGCTAATATTCTATTTTTAATTTTTAATTTTTTAATTTTTTAATTTTTTAATTTTTAATTTTTTTTAATATATATATATATAGATACATATTTTATCATTGTATTTTTATATGAAATTAATGTATACATAATATATGTATATATTAAAAGATATATAAACAAATAAGATATATCTCAATATAAATAATTAACTTTTCATCCACTTTTTTTTCGATTTTGGAGGGATTGATTTTGGTGAGTTAGAAGGAAAGTTATTCAATCCACTTTTCCATCCTTCCTTACCAAACATGATGTTTTATTTATCCCTCTAACTTTTCATTCTTCTATTTTTGTATTATACCAAACGGAGCATAAGAAAAAAATATTTTAGAGGGATTTGAATCCAAATAATAGCATTGTTTCTTGCATCATTATTTTCTTAATATTGATTCTTTGCTTAATGTGAATCACACTAGAACTGCTTCCCAATTAATAAAGTCCATTCTCACTGTTGGTCTTCTTAACAACAACATGAAAGAGAGAGCGTTTGGTGTTAACAACATTTGTTTGCTTGAATATAGAGATGTAATTTGGGTCAGGTTGGCATGGGCACAACATGATTAAAGGTGAGCACGACACCACTTGAAATGGGCCGGCCCAAGCACGGGCATGCAACCTGGATTGGGTTGGGTTGGGCCTGTGATTTGAGCTCATTGCGCTGGTACTGCACGGGCATACCCAACAAACAGACACAGGCACAGGCACTTGGTTTTTGTAGACATTTGTTCCATAATAGAAGAAAATTTTAAAAAATATTGGGAGTATATGTCACTTATTTTTTGTTTAGGTGTAGAAATGGATCCTAGAATAAAATTAGTTAGTGTGGAGGTGTAACACCCTAAAATTCACTCTAGAAGGTATTACTATCTATAAACCATCCAATCACGAGAGCAACTAAAAATAATCATTACGTAATAAATCATTCACCCATTTAACAAGGAATTAAAACATTGAAACTTCTCTAACTTATAATTTCTATACCAAAAATATCTAGCAGCGAAATAATAAAAACTAGTTAAAACATTGTTTCATAAAAATTTCTCAAACTCTAAATCAAAAATAGATCAACTATATTCCTCTAGGGTATAATCCATATCTTGATCCTCTAATAACTCATAATCAATCTGCTCATCCACATCGACATCTTCTTTTATGCCAAAATCTGTAAGTTATGTTATAGGGGGTGAGCAAAAAGCCCATAGGAAATCTCTCTCAAATCTCAACAAGGTTTTAAAAAAAATAAAAGATGACAAGCCTCTTTTGAAAAATAACATATATAGATTTTGGGAATAAAACCATGATAGTTGTAATAATCTCAACTGTACAAAATACAGTAAATCAATGACAGGAATAAACTTACAAGAAATTAAAAAATCAATAAATAACTCAGTAACATCATTCCATATTGTCATGTATGTTCGTTCATCCCTATTGTCATATACGTTGATTGCTTCTTAGGAATCTATACAACGATTCTACCTCGTTCACCTATCACAACCACACAATCTCAATCATTCCCCACGGGGCACATCACAAACACATTAGGAATGACGTATATCATCTCTCACAGTATTGATGAATCTTTCCTAGGAAAGGTATATCATCCCTTAGCCTCAAACTTATATGAACAATAGTGGTTGCTTTCACAAACAACAATTCATTACAAGTGTTTGGAAATCAGTCACCCCCACTAGGATAGACTAACTTCTAACACTCTACGACAGCTCTCGAAGGTAATTTAAGTTCGTGACAACAAACCATATAAGAGATGAAACCAAAATATTCTCAACAACCACAATCTTAATTAATCACAATTTTTATTACCAATTCAAGTATCACAATTTCTCAATTCTCAATATACTACAGTAATAAGGAATTAAATTATACAAGAAATCATCTCAAAAAAACCTTCATAATTTTGATATTCAAAATTCTAGGGTTTTGCCAAAAATCCTAATTTCTTGGAACAAAAACAACTATTAGATGAGAACATGATTTAATCAAGAATAAAAATTTAGAAATAAAGAATCCTTATGAATTTCACAATAGAACATGTATTTTAGAAAAATTAGGGTTTTAGAAATTCAAGAACAAATATTCCTTGAACCCAAACATACATTTAGCTCAAGACTATGTTCCAATGATAAAAAAACCAATAACTCGTGTATATCTATCATATAATTATCAAGAAGATGGACAAAAATATATTATTATACCCTAAGTATCAATGAAAGAACTTAAGAAAAATCCCCTACCTTGTTTCCTTAGTGTGTTTGAATCAATCCCGAAGCGAGAATACTCCCCATTTCTCCTCTCTTTCTTCCTCTCAAGCTTTCTAGGGTTTTCTTGGATGAATATTTTCTAAAAATACTCCTATGGGTCGTTCCTTAGCTATTTATAATGCTAAAAGTGAAGAAAACACTCAACAAAGATCGTCCATGTCAGGGGTATTCGACCTTCCGAATTCAATGAAAACCTTATTTTGACCTAAAAATATTTATAAAATTACTTAACCACACTTTTCAATCCAAACATTTCCAAAACTCAATTTATCTCAACGTAAGTATGCGTAAAACTCAAACTTTATAATCAATCTTTCAACTATGATTCTAATTTTCTACCATCATTTTATTCATCTTAGGAAAGCTCTTAAGATAATATTATCCTTATTTAAATTTTATATGAGGTCTTACAAGAGGTGATACTAAATGGAATTTCTCAAAAATTAAACAGGTCATTTCTTATTACTTCAGACTATATTAATACTTCATTAACTTTCATGTACAATTCATATCAATCTAAATCTATAAAACAATACAAGAAATACTTCTTTATTATTTCTTATGAATAGTAGTGACCCATCTTGGTCTTCACTTGCGAAGATTGGAAAATAATGATCAAATGTAAGTTCTTCACGCACTGAACTCTATAAGTATTTAGAGACTGATTTGACATATTTTCTTACCCAAGAGCAAATAAACAAGTTGATATTTTGGGATGATGAAAATTACATGAAATTAACTTTCCTATTCTTTCCGTCATGGTGCGTGATATACTTACCCCTCTAGTGTCCTCGGAGTCTACTTTTAGTGCAGGTAATGGGTATTGGACGAGAGAAGTAGATTAACTCTAGAAATCTTGGAATGACTTATGTGTATGAAAGATTGGGAGGATGCAACACTTAAAGCTCAGAGTTGGAAAGATGACATGGCTGAAGACTATGCAAACTTATATACAAGTAATGAATCAAATGAGTAGTGGATAAATGTAATCTATTTGTTTTATTTTTTATACCTATTATGAATTTTTTTTTCACATTGTAGCTCAAGCATTGCATTATTAGTTTTTTTTTTTTTAATTTGTATTACTTCTCTAAATTTGGGGTAAGACTTATCATGTTCCTCTTTTTAGGTGTAATTTCTTATTTTTTATTAATAAAATTTTCTCGCACCACTCGAGGTTTGCCCAAAATTTTGTAAAAAAAATTATTCACATTGATTAGTTGAGAATTGCTACATAGGCATGAAATAGGCACAAGCACGACATGACCAAAGCACGAGATAAGTTACGACTCGGGCATGGGCACGACATGGGCCGTGCCCAGGTCCGAACACAGAAGGCACAACACGACAACGAAGCACAAAAGTTAATGGGCCAGCACAACACATTTGACATCTCTACTTGTATAGGTTTCTTTCTTTTTCCCTTTTTGTTCCCCTTGAAATGAATAATTTCGTTATGCAA